TATCGAATCAGCTGAGATATATATACTCCGTATGCAGGTGATAAAGGTTATTGCTGCATAAGTAAGGGAAGTTAACGATAGAAAAGTTAAAGTCATCACGTTTATCATATAGCTTGGCTGTTAGATTACCATTAGTGTCTTTTTCAAGTAAAATATCCAAGTATGTAGCAGAAGTGTCGGACTATGTGGTATCTTTTATCTCAAGCTCACCAGGATATATCGTATCGACGTAGGAATGGAAATTATCATTATTTATTGACAATACGTCGTCGATATATCTAAATGTTGAGTTGAAGGCCACAGCAAGTGTTTTCTTCTTTTCACGCATAAGATTTTAAACAAATTCTGCTTCATATGAATACAAAAATAAGTCTGCTAATAACGGTGCGCAATTTGTACCCATGGGAATTCCAATAGATTAATTTTGCAAATGACCAATGACGAGGTAAGTAAATATACGAGTTCCATTTTTTTGAAGAAGCAGCTGTCAATGATATCAAAAAGCCTGGATTTTAATTTGTCGTGGGGAATTGCTGTGTATAAAGTTGAAAAGTGGTAAGTTTTCAAGCTGTTGATTTTTGTCTTGTATTTCAAATTGTCCAAAAGTTCTTTAGAATTTTTAAGTATCCACATCTGATTTACACCACTTCTTGAATATATAGTTGCACAGTACTTTTGAAGTTTTTCTTTCACTACTATCAATATCAATATCAATATCAATATCTAAAATATTAATTGTGAATTGTTTGGTTTTAAATGAATGTAAAATTTAAATACATGTATCAAAACTTATAGTATTATATAGCTAAGAAGGAAGATGTAAAAAATTTTATAATAACTTTATTGCATAAAATAAAAGTTATTTGCTACGATTAAATAATTATATAATTTTGTTAGTGCTAACACAATAAAGATTTAATGAGTTTGAATCCTTTTTCTTCCTTTGAGAAGACTAATTTTGAAAGATGTTCTGTACTAATTTTTTTTAAAAAAAATATATTATTCATCGATATACAGTGGACCGATTTGAAGCTGGTATCTCTGGAATATATAGGATTGTGTCCTCCTCCTTGTAATTAAAGAATGGAAGTACGTACATGTTATGCAGTACTCTTTATTGTAAATAGAACCAAAATAAGTGCACTTCTGAAAACATTCATGAATCATTTGGCTATTCAAACTTTTTTTCCCATATATTTAGTGTCCGTGTTTTAGTTTTTCACACTTCAGATTTTTGTTTAAAACTTTGAATTCTGTCTATTTATTTATTCATGTATTTGTCTACAATCTGTTATTTTAAATCTATCATAATTTTCTAATACATTATAAATAAACTCAATTAAAAAAGAAACGCATATTGTTTTACTCATCAAAGAAACTTTGAAAAAAGTATCTGGAACAACTATCTTTTTTATCATTGGTTACCTGGGACCTTTTTAATGGACAACATGGGCTTTTAAAACCAAAGTTTTGAATTATTTCCCTTGATTACTAGTTATCATGTTTATGAAAATAGTACATTTTTCATGAATTCTTGTAAATCGAGGGTCTAATTTCTTTGATATTTTGGATTTAGAGAAACAATAAACACCCATATTCTATTTAACCCAAATTTAATATTTGATTGCAATGTTGATGCTGCAATGCCACTCCTTAACCAAGATTAACACAACCTGGCTAACGATGCCAGCGAGCTATGCCATTGTATTTGATGCATGTACATGTACATCAGTCGGTTTTGCAGCAGTTAAACGTACGTCTCCAACAAGTAAGGAACACTCTTGATGGACCAAAAACTGGCCGTCCGCGGGTAACCACACTCAGACAGGACCGTCAGACCCCCCCCCCTTTCAGCACCTGCGCAATCGATTCATAACTGCTGTACAAACTGCTGTTACAATTATTGGATGACGAAATCAGCATAAAAGTGCACAGGTTGTTTGCAAGAGTCTGAGAGGAGTTGGTATTCGTGGACGATGTTCCTACTACATTAGAAATCAACTAGCAATGAGACGTTGCAAAGGACATATGAATTGGTTAAGAAGGTATGCCCCTAGAATGTAGAGGCGACGACGATGACATCAACTTAACTTTTCAAGATACAACCTAGGACATGTTTGATTTTTATAACGACACACTTTAAAATCACTTTTGAAATATAAGTCTATTTTAAAGTGAAAACTTAGATTATCTTGTTTAATATGAATACTAGTATGCGTTCCATTTTTTATGTTGAGTATATTTCTTTCTGTACAAGAAAAATAGATAAATGATATCAAACCCTTTCAAAACTGTGTTAAATTTTTGCTTGTATGTTTTTGCGAATAGGTACGTGGGTTTTTGAAAGATGGGTGGACGCTAAACAGAGTAGAAAAACTTGGAACGGTCTTACAGTAAAATAACAAATGTCAATATCTTTTCGTTTTTAAAGGAAGTGACATAAATAGACTGGGATTTGTATGCCCTTCCTCGTAACAGAGAATGGTTTTCTGGGAATACATAAACAAAATAATAAGATCATAAACCTAGAGAAATAAAGGCTATAAATAGAAAGATCAGACGTTTCGGTAACAATAAATAATTTTAGATTGTGAAAGTTGAATCAGTAAGCTAATGGAGCCCGGTCATAAGGAAATGACTGGGACTTTGAATTTTATTTCCTTGTAAGGAGCATATGAAGTTCTGTTGTATTAAATTGAACGTCAGATACTCTATTAATAATTTTAAAAGTGCCTCCATTTTACATGCTCCAAATCTTGAAGAAAATGAATGGTAGATGATTTTTTTTTCTGTGATAGGCTACGATATTTCAGTATTTTTAGTACTTTAGTTACATGTATAGGTGTTTCAGAAAATATCCAACCATAAAATTTTCTCGCATTATTGATATGCAAACAGAAAAATACGAAACGTTTATATAAAATTATGCTAAAAATGCTTACGATTTTATTGATATCAAAAAATTAGGAAATAAATACCATTTGAATTAATTATGATGTCATATTTGACATCAGTAAAAAAACCAGTTAATTTCAAATTCAGTATCGAATTTAATACGAGGCAATCTTAGGGTTTCGATAATATTTATCAGAGTTTGTCACCAATTCCCGTGATTAGGAAAATGTAATTAAGATTTACCGAATGTACAGAGAATCTACTTAGTGATGTAAAGTGGAAGTTGTATGAATATGTAAAATTTTAAAGCTAATAGAAGAGTTAAAGCATAACCAAAGAAGAAGTTAATTTGGAAGAAAGAGACCATGAAAACACATGAAACATTTAGAATGTTACTAAAAAGGCATTCTTCAAGGAAATCATATGAAATCCTTTGTAAAATATACATGCAATTTTGACGCAACTCAAAATTGAGCAAGTCAAGTGTATATCGGATACTGGAATGTGTCTTGAATGTAAAAACTTGGACTTGTTAGAACAAATGTCAAAGTTCTTAAAACACTCCTCTAACATCAATTGAACTCAAAATGGTTAAAAAAATGACTCATAACCAAGAGAATCTTTACACTAGTAAAGAAAACTTTTGTTGCATTGGATAGATTAATTCATTCAGCAAAAAGGACGCCATTTAGAACATATTTTGTACCTATGTGCAATTTTTAAGTTTCTTTTTTCGTTTGTAAATCAATATTCTTTTGCAAGATCAACTTAAATAAAATTATAAAATAGATTTGTTTTATGTATTGATTAATTTTTATCAATGTAAAGTTACACAATCAGTTGTTTACTTATTGTTTCGTGTTTGACATGTGTTTCTAATCTGATAATTTTTTAATGACGTTCATGGTTCGTAAATAAACAAATATGGTCAATAAGATAAAATCAATGAAGCATTTCAATGTTAAACATTCCAATCCTGTACAGCAAGCTAAAGATAAATCTGAATAGATTCTTCTGATAATTATAAAAATAGCATCAAACAAAGCAAATCGCAAATTATTTAATTTTCTTGTATAGCAAGGAATTGCTATTTTAAATGATGTTAAATTAATATTTCCTTTATACATTAGGTCCGCCCTTTTATGTAGCTTTTACAAATATCTGCAGGTATCTTTCTCCAGCTTATAAATCTTCCTTAAACAAGTGCCTACAGTTAATTTCTAGACTGGAATGAATAAAAAGTAATCAGTGTGCTTGGGCTTTATCAGCTCTCTCGTTGAAATTCAAATTCTCTTCAAACAATATTTAAGGCTGTTTATATCGCGTCAGTTTATATCCAACTTGTCAACAACTATTAAAAAATTCTATTTAAAAAATAAGGTCTGTTAAACATCAGTTTATATTCAAACATCCTAAATAATATAATAATCCCTTTGGAAAAAGACATTACAGGGATATGGCGATACCGAGGGTTAGAAAACATCAAATACAAAGACATGACTCCTGTCTTCTTCAGAAGACGTTAATCAATAAAGTTGATCCTGTGAATTTCAGAATCTATGATAGATAAAATAGATAGATTAAGAAATTTTATCAACCATTTTACTGTTTTCCAGTTAATACACTGATGGTAATATGAACATAAGGCCTTCAACTGCCGTTAGGGTTCGCTACTATGAACGATAAAGCATTCCTAATACTTGCTTAGACTAGGTCCGAGGTGTCTAACTGTTTATACGCAATAAAGAGTTTTGAACTTGAAATAGTAACACAGAAGGCATGAGGAAGTTCCGCAGAATTTCCATGTACCAAGACATAGTACAACGAACATTTTATTAATCCTGTCTGAAAAATGGATTCAAATACACGATCTCTGATGTGAGTTTTGTTTTATAATTATTTCTTATAGAAATATTAGGCAAATTACAACTTTAATCAATGAAGTATTATACTAAGTTTATATACTGCTAATTAATAGAATTTATGAATAATTTATATCTAGAAAATTAAAGGAATTCATTTTTGGTGCTAATTAAATTTTTTCTTTGTTTAAATTTGACATTCTGGGTTATGGTTTTTTTTTTAGTGAATCAGCCATACAGAATATGTCGGCGTCGGTGTTTGTGGGACTGTGTCACATAGTGGGGACCTCTCAACAGGTGGCCATAAGGAGAGATATGGTTGATATTGAGGATATTTTGTCAAATCAAGCCAGTATTAATTCATTCTCTAGAATGGAAAGCGGAAGTCACAGAGAAGGATTCAGAATAAAAGGATCAGACAGAGACATTATGTTCTGGACAAATAACAACCAAGTCATCTGGGACATATCTCAGACTCGGCATTACAACAGACAAAAATACACAATAATTCTCTGTGACTGTTCCGATAGTCCTCCAGGATACTGTTTACTTCAGCTTTTGATTCCACAGACCATAATAACATTATCAGACACTGAAGAGATAATAGCCATCGATACGGTTACACAGTCAGCACTTTTTGGAAGGAATGATAGCCTTTTTATATCTAGTTCTCTATACAGAGATGCTATGCGTCCATTATTTGCTCCTAGCTTAACTCCACATGGACCCTGCGCTGGTGGAATTATTTCTGGAAGAGAATATGATATTGCCTACTGTTTTGCCTGTGACTTTTGGCCTCCAGTTGCTGCATCTTGGATTGACAGATGTCAATCATGGCCCAAGCCTCATGTTGTATGGGACATAATCAAAAGTGGATGTCACTTTGTAGCAACTGGACATAAACTGGGCAATTATATAGACCATGAATGGCGAATTTCTTTCTCCCGGGCAGAACAGATACTTGTGTATTCAATGAACCACACTCAGTTCCTAACTTATGGATTGCTGAAATTGATTTTAAAGGAAGTCATTAACAAAGGATTAGGAGAAGAGGATAAACTACTATGTTCCTATCACATGAAGACGGCCGTTTTCTGGGTAATTCAACGAAATACAATACCTCACTGGTGTCCACAAAATATCCTGTTGTGTTTTTGGGAGTGCTTCAAACTAATCCTAAAATGGATTTATGAAGGGGTCTGCCCTAACTTTTTTGTTCCACAAAATAACATGTATCTGAGTAGTATCCATGGTGATAAGCAAACCCAATTGTTCATTAGGCTGTATGCGTTGTATGAGAAGGGTTTGATATCACTGCTACACATTCCCTCCCTCTGGCCCTATGTTTTAAAATTCCTTCATAACCCAAGACTCTCCATTTCTACAGATGAAGGCAACTTACTCCCTGAGTATAAATTTTATTCAACCTTATTTGAATGCATATCTTGGGGAGGTATACCTGAAAAAGCCAACCTGTTTGACTGTATGAAATGCCTACGAGCTGTAGAACAGTTGATAAATACGCCCTTGACGCCATATCATGTTGTCTCCTTACTGGGACACACAAACGCCATCCTCCATGACATTGCCTTTTTATTAAACAACATGTACATCAAAATTTGTCGAAACAAAATGTTTTATATTGTTGACAGAATGTCCCATCGCCTGCTGAAATTAACATGCAAGTTTGGTTTCACTTCTGATATGGTGTATATGGCCATGTATTACTACAAGACAATGAGATTTGTGGACGCATTACTTGTTATAGAAACGACAATAGTCATACAGTCACATAAAGCGAATCAATCTTATACTCCATCTCGGCACACCGAAATTTCTAGAGGGCAGTCCCTGACTTCAAAAATTAGATTCTTTACAAGTGGAAATACCTATCTTAACAATAAAATCTGTTACATCAATGAATTATTGCCTGAACAACAGTCTTGTATACAGGAGAGACAGGCTCTGTTGGTTATCCCTGAACTCATACTCTTGCATATGCTGGAGATCTTGTGCTACCTCCATGTTGATGTGTCAAAAGTTCATACAGCGCTGTGTAATCTCCAGCAACTAGTCCACCATCCTGAGAAGATATCCATGCCGAAAGATCAAGAAGACATATCATGGCAGATCCTAGGGATCTGTTACCAGGTCACAGGGAATCCACAGGCGGCTCTTTACGCGTACCAACAGTCACTATCACGAGAATCATATAATAAAATAGAGAATGCTACACTTTTAAGAATACAGAGTATCCTTCGGTGATAACGAAGATGAAATTTATATACAATTAATGATAGAGTTAAAAGAAAAAGTATACAAATACAATTTTAAGGATTAAGGACCAGCAGCTACTGTTAGTATTTAGATAAACACCATTCTAAGTCAATGATAAGTTTCAATTTTGTTAATATGAGTTGAAATGATACATGTACATGATTGTGTATATATATTTATTTGATCTTTGTTGATGACGAAAATTCATTCTCAATAACAGGAATGTACCCGTAAAAATCTAATAAATTTATGTAACAATTTAGACAGATTTGTTTTGCTTTTGAGTAAGGAAGGATATGGAGATAACGAACAATATTCAATCTCAAAGTCCATAAAACAATGAAAAATGAATCAGAGCAAACACGGACCCCCGAAACATTAGAGGTTGAATCAGGTGCCATGGAGGAAAAAGCATCCTCTGCCGACCGGTCACACCCGCTGTGTGCTCCTTGTCATGATCAGGAAATAACCAGAAAAATCCGTCGTCAATGCAGTGTATAAATAATGGACTAACAATTGGTATGAAAAACGTCAGTCAGCGTTTGACTCAATAATAAACTGTACTTGCTGCCAAGGTCATTGTATCGACCATAGAACTTACGAAATGATGACTTTAAACGAGACTATTGATATTCTTGTTTCGTCAGCTTGCTTGTCAATAATTTACCTCGTTTCAGAAATTGTTCAAACGTAGAACATGCTCTTGCGTATCGAATCAACTGAGATATATACACTCCGTATGCAGGAGATGAAGGTCTATTGCTGCATAAGTAAGGGAAGTTGACGATAGAAAAGTTCAAGTCATCACGTTTATCATATATAGCTTAGTTGTTACTATTACCATTAGCGTCTTTTTCAAGTAAAATATCCAAGTATATAACATTTTTGAATAAGTTTTCTCATTATATCACAAATGTAATAAGTTTCGCTATAAACCCTGAAAAATGCTGAGTCAAACCGGAAACAGTTATGTCACGCCGGAAACAGTTATGACATCCTTTCGATCACGTTCACATGTTTTTACGTTACGCATTTCTGTTCGGGTTCGAGATTTTATGACGTCGGTTGCTAAGCAAAAGTAATCAACACAGCGTATTTTTTAACGTCAAGAAGTCATTTTTGGGATTATTTGTGTACTTTTTATTGATTTTGAATGAATTTAAATTTTCTTTTGATTTTAAATAAAAATGTCATATAACATATACCACATGGCTTCTCGGGCGACTATACCAGAATATTTGCCCCTCGGTGACAGGAAAGCCCTGGAGTGTTTTGTCACCCACTGCCGTCGGCATCGGGTGACATAACACTCCAGGGCTTTGCTGTCACCGAGGGGCAAATATTCTGGTATGTCAACCTCGAAGCCATGTGATATATGTATAATGACACAGAAGTGTCGGACTCTATGGTATCTTTTATCTCAAGCTCACTAGGATATACCGCATCGACGTAGGAATGGAAATTACCAATATTGATTGACAATACGTCTTCGATATATCTAAATGTCGAGTTGAAGGACACAGCAAGTGTTTTCTTCTTTTCACGCATAAGATTTTGCATAAATTCTGCTTCATATGAATATAAAAATAAGTTTAGCTGCTAACTTATTTATTGAAATTATCACAACACATGTATAAATCAAAGAAGTTTATCCGGTGTTCGATCTGATTGGTAACTATATTTATGGAATACGTGTTCTACGGGTATTACTATAATGCACATAGATTTTATCGTATGTAAAATTTACGCCATTTTCGTTTTTTTCTCAGTGCAGTCAGACTTTCCCCAACCCATCCGTCCTCATAAATATATATTTGTATTGATTTACACATGTGTTGTTTGTCTTTGTTGATATAAGAGGTTGGAAGGAATGAAAAATAAAATTGTATAATTTGTATAACTTAACAACACTTACGAGAGCGCTTTTGTAGCTATATACGTGTCATTTATTTTATAGATTATTTACGTTTGTGTAGTAGAAATTGTACTTGAAATATGGAGATAAAGAACAGTATTCAAGATCAAATTAAGTCCCTTTAAATAATACGAATTGGGAGCAGAGCAAACACAGACCTGTAATAACATCAGAGGTGTGATCAGGTGTCCGTGACATGGAGGAGTTAGTATCCCCTGTCGACTTGTAACACTCTCTCTGCACTCCTGTCGTGAACGGGAAAATCCACTGAATTATGCTCTAACAGTTAATATGTAAAACGTCAATCAGCATTTGACCTAATGATAGATTGTGTTTGATGCCAAAATCATTTTATTGCAAAAATGATGACTAAAGTCCAGTCTGCATGAGAAAAAAATCGGTCTTTATTATGCTCCGAAAATCAGATGGTCGCTGTACAACGACCATCAGAATTTCGGAGCGTAGCAAAGATCTGATCTGATCGCGACTTTTGATATTCTTGTTTCATAAACTTGTCTGTCAGAAGCTTGCTTCGTTTAAGAAATTGTTCACACGTAGAGAATGCTCTTGCGTATCAAATCAACTGAGAGACATAAACCCTATATGCTGATGATAAGGGGATATTGCAACATAGGTAAAGGAAGTTGCAACTGACAATCGAAAAATTGAAGTCATCAGGTATTTCATAAAGCTTTGTCCGTTAGGTTACCATGATGTCTTTTTCTATAAAAATATTCAAAAATGAAAGAGATGTGTCAGACTATGTGGGTTTTTTTTTTTATTTCAAGCCAAATTGGATAAATCAAGTCGACATTTGAATGGAAGAAATTATGTTATAAAAAGATATATCGACGTCACATTGTCAATTATCAATGGTAATTTTCATTCTTATGTCGATACAATATATCCTAGTGAGCTAGAGAAAAAAGATACCACAGAGTCGGACACATCTGTTTCATATTTGGATATTTCACTAATCGTTTAACCTATTAATTTTTTTAACTTCTGAAATATGGAACACAGAAGGATAGATGGTTTTCATAATGTCCCTCATAATGCACTAATGAGCCTTACAAACAAAGACAATGTTGTAAGCTGCCTTGACAGTACTTAATGATCATGTAATCTATCTAATTCTTGGTTCTTTTCTGTTTTGTCAAAGACAGAAAATGGTATCTTTTTTTATATCATTTGTATACTTTAAATGAAAGCACTATTTAAGCTAAGCTGTTTTCACATTTTCAACTTCTCCAAAAATGCAATAGGCCAACTTCAACCAAACGTGCCACAAAGTATATTTGAATGAATTAATTAAGGTGGTTCAGATTTTTGAGCATGATGGAACACTCTCTTTTCAAGGGAAGATAAGTAAAAACAAGAATAAATTTGATGGCATCTTTTTAAGAACTACTGGGCCAGAAAACAATATATAAAGCTTTATTACATAATGTAGATTCAAGTTTGTTCAAATCATGACCCCAACATATAAGTAGATTAAAAGGCCGCAATAGGAGATCAATTTCATACACAGGAGATCAAAGTTATACATAGAGGAAAAAGTAGAAAACCCTTAAAAGTATCCGCCCTGAGAACTGCAAAACCGTAATTAGTCATATTATTAAAGTATTATTGTCTGAAAAAATCATAAATTTTAAGTGTACAGGGTGGGGCCACTACAGCGGATCAATTATGTCATTCTCATTATTATTTGGTTAAAAAAAAAACATTCTGATCGTACACACGAGTACTCTGAAGTTATCATTACAAAGATGCTCGAGTTTCTGATTGACAATATACATGTCGTTTTTGGAGACCAGGTCTTCTAACAATCTATTGCAATCTATATAAGCAGACCTATTTTTGTATTTCTATGAGGCAGAATTTTTCCAAAATTTTGTACGTGAAAAGAAGAAAACACTTGCTGTGGCCTTCAAGCCGACATTTAGATATATATACTGGTACGACATATTGTCAATTAACAATCGTAATTTCCATTCTTATGTCGATACGATATATCCTAGTGAGCTTGAGATAAAAGATACTACAGAGTGTGACACATCTGTCTCATATTTGGATATTTTACTTGAAAAAATGTAAATGATAATCTAAGAACCAAGCTCTGTGATAAATGTGATGATTTTAAATTTTCTATTACTAGTATCTCCAAATGTTTCACATAAGAATATTTCGGAACCATTCTTTTTTATGACCTGCAAAGACATGTTTAATCATATTTGATATAGAAGTGTCCCCCGGTATTTTAAATTTAAGATGTTTATATCATCTGGGTGTAGTTTAAGGCAAAAACACTTGATCAAAGTTTTATATGGGAATATTCTAACAGAAACTGTTTAATAGTCTTCTTAAAACATCTAAGCTATGAAGAAACAATAATATGTTGTTCAAATCATCATCCCAGGGTACAGAGGGGGACTAATAATATTTTACGTCGATTTGAATGGCCCTCCTAAAAACCCAGTAAAATACAGTAATGTCATATATTTTAAAACGAAAGCATATCCAAAGCTATTTATAGCACCCGAAAATTCTAGATTTTACCTGTAAGATGGACTCCATAAACATTTCACAAAGGTAAATAAGAAGATGGGCGCATTTGGCGGGTGATCTGCAGGAATCATTTGTACGAAACATTTATGATTTAAATGTCCATGATTTGGTTGGCTGAACATACCTGGTCAGATTTTACAAACACGTCCATGGTTTTTTTTCCATTTAGTTTGAGAGACATTGTGAAATTGTAACATTTATGTCCATTTTTTTTCTAGGGGGTACTATAACATAGTAATATTTCACAAAAAATACAACCTAAAATATTTAAATTAATGTATTTATATATATAAATATATATATATATATAGAGAGAGAGGTGCATGATACGTGTACATGTACATTATAAAATAGAAGATTAGAATTGATTTCGTGTGAAAACCAAACTGAACCAAAATTTATCTCATTCAAAATTTTAAAACATCAGTACATAAAACGAAACTGACAAAACAAATAGTTGCTTGCCTGAATAAAAAAACTTAACGCCCCATGCCAGGCTCGAACCAAAAACTTTTCGCTTCGAGTGCACTGAACAGGTAGCCTATCTTTCTGAGCTATCACCGCTACACATGTCTAAATGTTTTTAAAAGGACAAAGACGCACCACATTCACACAATTGGATTTTGTGGGGAAAAGTTCATTTTTCGTGGTCTATGGGTCTTCTCTCCATTTTTTAAAAAATGTAATCGTTTCTTTGAATTAAATTCCACACAAATAACGTTTCAAAATCACGGAGAGAAGACCCAGACATAGAAAATTTTTAGAAAAGTGTGTTTCAAAATGTACAATTTTGTACTAAATGTCTGATATGGCCAATTTTCAAGTTATTTTTTAGCAAATCAAAGCTCAATTTCGGGAAAATATTTTCCGTTCCTGTTGCACAGGAACCCGATAAATTAAAAAAATGTTAAAAATTTCATGTGACATGTCAATAAATTTTTCACTTTTCAATTACGCCCAGGTTCCTGCCGAATGCCAATCAAAAGCGCCCTCGTTCTTTAATAAATAATGCCCGAAATGCCTTAATTTGTATATATTGGTTCAAAATGTGTTACTTTATAAAGATAAGCAGTAAGTTTCCTTCATTTAATTCTTCGGCAAATTTATGTTTGAAAAAAAAAGAGAGTTAATGTACACTAAAATTAATGGTAATAAATATTTAAGTTCTATGACTATGAATTACTTTATTTGTACAAAACGTTATAAAAATGCTAATTTTTACTGAAGAAATATTGAATTTAATGACTTAAGAGATTTATTAAATATTTTTAAAACCAGCCTTAGTAAAACAGCCATACAACGCCTGTCAGAGTCGGTGTTTGTTGGACTATGTCGTAAAGTGGGGACCTCACAACAGGTGGCCATGAGGAGGGGTGTGATGGACATACAAGGCTTGGTGAAGATTGAGGAAAACAAAAAATTAAAAATTGGTCAGATGATTAGTGGAAGTCGAGGAGAAGGATTCAGACTGAAGACATCAGATACAGACATTATGATATGGCAATATTATTTTCGTGTAATTTGGGAATTATCTCAGTCTCGGTATTACAACACAAACAGAAAAGGTATGATTCTCTGTGACTGTTCTGATAGTCCGCCAGGATTCACTCTCTTATATTTATTGCCACCAGGCAGAAACACAGAACTCCAGAGAACTTATGGACCAGGTACAATGACAAGCGGGCATTATTTATCCAGTTCTAAATACTGCAAGGGGATGTGTTCTGCATTGATGACACCATTTAACCCTTCTCCACATGGGCCCTGCATGTGCTAGTGGAAATTTTATAGCCACAGAATATGATTATGCCCACTGTTTTATTAGTGACTTTTGGCCTCCATCTGCCTCCTCATGGATAGACAGATGTCACTCATGGCCCCAGCCGCATATTGTTGATGATATAGTGAAAAATGGATGTCACTTTGTAGCAATTGGACATAAGCTAGGACATCATGAAAACAATGAATGGAGAATTTCTTTCTCCCAAGCAGAACAAAAACTTGTGTATGCAATGAAGCACTGTGAATTCGTAACTTACGGCTTGCTTAAATTGTTCTTAAAAAAATAATGAACAATGGACTAGATAGTGATGCTAAATTATTGTGTTCCTATCAAATGAAGACAGCAGTTTTATGGGTGATTCAACGGAACACAATACCTCACTGGTGTCCACAAAATCTCCTGGAGTGTTTCTGGGTTTGTTTCAAGCTCATTCACAAGTAGGTGTATGAGGGGGTCTGTCCTAACTTTTTCATTCCCCAAAATAATATGTTTCTGAGTAAAGTCCATGGTGAAGCACAACATCGACTATTTGTAAGACTGTATGGATTGTATGAGAAAGGTTTAACATTCCTGCTACATTATAAGTCCCTCCATTAAGCCTTGTATTATAAATGTCCTTCACAACCCCCACGTCTCCATTTGTACAGATGACCATACTCTGATTTCTGAGAAAGACTTTGATGCAGACCTATTTTTGGAACTGCATGACCTTGATCTGTTACCTATATCAAAACCAAACAGCTGTATACCATATCTTAAGTCAATAGAACATCTTATAAGTTTACCTCTCATAACAGTATCAGATTACCATGTTACAAAGACTTGCAGCCTCTGTCTTTCAGGTACTTGCTTTTGTAATGAACACAAAGGCGTGTGCTCCAAAAAACAAAATGATCTACAAAGCTGATAAGATGACCCGTCACATGCTTAAGCTATCAGAGAAGTTCGGTTGTATTTCTGACAAACTGTTCAGAGCCATGTATTATTACAAGACATTTAGATATAGGGACGCTTTATCCATTTTAGTAGTAATACGGGGCAAGTTAGCACAACCATATGTGAAGTTCATGTATAGCATAAAAGCAGCAGAGATGTACACTACGGCTTTAGGGGGTCAGTCTATTTCTACGAAGATGAGGGAGGCTGTAGCTTGGGATATCAATCTTCACACTAGATTCCATTATATAAGTGAATTGATTCCAGAACAACAGTCTTGCCTACAAAAGAACTGGCACTACTTAACTATATCTAACTTCATATTATCACTCATGCTCGAGGTCTTGTGTTACAGACATATAGACCAAAGAAAAGCAAAAATATCTCTAGATGTCTTCAAGTCTCTAGTTCACGGTCTTAATCAGGAACAACATATACCTTCATTTTACAGAGACATAACGTGGCAGATGTTAGGAATATGTCAGCAGGTGACAGGGAACCTACAGGATGCTTTATATTCATTCAAACAAGCTCTGCAACAAAAACAATACAACAGATTACAATCGGCTACAGAAATGAGAATACAAGAGATCTGTCGATAAAATCTCTGCAGATTGTGTAGGTATTAATATTACTTAGTAATATGGAACCTGAAAGAATCTGAACCTAGGGTACACCTAGTTCCTGTGTAGTAAGAACTGGAGGAGAAAAATATATATTACCATGAAATATATGGAGATAACGAACAGTATTAGAGATCAAAAGTCCATAAAACAATACAAAATAGGAGCAGAGCAAACACAGACCTCCAAAATATCAGAGTGGGATCAGGTGCCATGGAGGATTGAGCATCCCCTGCTGACTGGTCACACTCGCCGTGTGATCATTATGATTGGGAAATAACAGAAAATCCGTCGTAAATCCAGTGCGCATATATTGTTTAATCCAACGAAATAAAGCTAGACAAGTCATTTGTTAAAAAAATAAATAAAATGTAAAGTTTTTAATTCACAGTCAAACAATTTGTTGTATAATATGGAGACGACTTCTTGATACTCAGTACGTCATGTGTACACGTATAGTTTTCTCCCAAACGACTCACACTTTGTAAAAATGTTTGAACAACGCTGGTAGTGGAATGTTTCATATCTTTTTATCAGTTTTGAATATTGTGTTTGATCCCCTCGAGGATCAATTTTTAAAACCAGGAATTAAATTGTCTGTTTGAATTTTTTTTGTAAGTATTTGTATATGTTTAGGTTAAATTTTGTGTTGTACTGGAAAGAGAAAATAAACTATTTTAACCAATAGTTAACATTTTGTGTTTTTTTCGACAATCTATTTTCAGTAAAACACAAAGAAAAAAAAATACAGTAAGACGTTTATTGTCGTCATGTAGAAGTTTAAAATAGATTCTGCTTCGTTGGAATAAATCAGATCTGCTAATAAATTAAAGGAGCTGTAAAGTTTAATGTATATTTTCGAAATTCTTCTGCAGTAGCATATAATACTAGTAATTGTACAGGCTTTATGGAGACAGAAGACCTCCCAGAAGTTCAGTCCTAGATTGGATTGAATGTTAAAGTGAAGGGAGATATTAAAATGATGTTTAATCTGTAGCTCAGTGAAAGCAAGCTGGAGAAAAGATGTGTCCTTAGTTAAATTAACGCTCCACCCCTTCTATCGCCGAGATAGGGCCATTTCTAACAAAGGGGATGTTCTTGTTATAAAAAATAAAATCTTGCATGGTATAAGAAATATAAAACCCGGAAAAATCTTTCAGCTTCTGTGAAAGAATGCCACAAAAATGTCACGCGTCCGAATTAAAATCGGAGATGACTACTTTAATCATGAAGTATGTGGAGATAACTAACAGTATTTGAGCTTAAAAGTCCTTTATAAACGCTACAAAATAGGAGCGGAGCAAATACGGACCTCCAAAACATCAGAGGTGGGATCAGGTGCCATGGAGGAGTGAGCATCCATTGCCGACCAGTCTCATCCGCCGCGTGCCCCTTGTCATGATCAGGTTATAACGGAAAAATCCGTCGTCAATTCAGTGTATTAATAGTGGACTAACAATATAGTATGAAAAAGGTCAGGCAGCATTTGACTCAATGATAAATTGTATCTGCTGACACGGTCATTGTATCAACCATAGAATGATGACTTTAAACGAGACTGCTTATGTACTTGTTTTATCAACTTTTTTGTCAATAATTTACCTCGTTTTAGAAAATGTTCATACGTAGAGCAATCTCTTGGGTATCGAATCAACTGAGATAAATAAAGTCCGCATGCAGGTGATGAAGTTAAATAGATTGGGTAATTACGGAAAATTTGTGGACAACTCAGTGTGTAAATAATGGCCTAACAACCAGTATGAAAAAATGTCAATCAGATTTTGACTTAATGATAAATTCTATTTGTTGACAAGGGTACCAATAACAAAAATGAATATTTCTAATATCAAAAAATTAATGAAATTTTCACAGAATCAAAAAGACAATATCAGTAAGTGATAGTATCAGTGAAATTAAATTTGACCGTTTTATATAAGAGGCAAGGTCAGGTCAAGATCATTATCTTTTTCCTTGACATTAAGAATAAAAAATAACTGTTGTCAATCATGTGATACCTACTTAATTCTAGTTTAAAAGTTTAATGATTGTTCTTTTTGCATAAAAACATATTACTATACATTTGAAAATTTCTCCAAGACTTTGATTGTGTAAAAATTATAACTAAATTCATTGTTCTATTATAATTTTGAGAGGCAAAAAAAGAAGATATTTTCATTAACGCCACCATTCCGCCAAGAATATACTCCCTGCTAGTTTTCAAACGCAGTTTACCATTTCTATTTAAAGTTGTACAATTGTAATGAGGAAAGAAAATTATGGTATTTTAAAGCCCAAACACCTAAATACATAAGGCATATAAGCAAATATACTTTGAATGTTTCATCTAATCAGAAACCAGAGAATTTCCCAAGTAATTCAGTTAGTTTGCAGATTTTGCGGTCACCCCTCGTAGCATTGTCAAATAAACACCAAGGCCGGTTTTTATATCAATCTATTTTTGCGTATATAACAATTGAAGTTAAACTACGACGGCGTATTAGTGCCATTTTAACAATGTAGAAATTTTTTTTAAAATCGTTTGTACGATTTACTAAATCTTTTGTACGATTTAGTAAATCGTACAAACGATTTACTAAATCGTTCGTACGATTTAATAAATCGTACAAACGATTTAGTAAATCGTTTGTACGATTTAATAAATCGTTTGTACAATTTAGTAAATCGTTTGTACGATTTAATAAATCGTTTGTACAATTTAATAAATCGTTTGTACAATTTGTCTGTTAAATCGTTTGTACAATTTATTAAATCGTTTGTACGATTTAATAAATCGTTTGTACGATTTAATAAATCGTTTGTACAATTTAGTAAATAGTTTGTACAATTTAATAAATCGTACAAACGATTTATTAAATCGTACAAACGATTAATTAAATTGTACAAATGATTTATTAAATCGTACAAACGATTTAAAAAAAAAATTCTACATTGTTAAAATGGCACGAATACGCCGTCGTATTAAATCAATCACAAGATAGGAAAATACCTGAATTCTTGTTTCTTAAAGAATCTGTTTTCTATGATTTCAAGAAAGACTGCTTTTGATTTATTTTGGGAATTATTTTTAAAAAAGCGTTGATAAATTACACTTTTAAGATGTTACTTGTTCATCTTGTACTTGTTAATTTATAATTGTCCCACTGGACAAGTCAAAGGTGTTTTTTTTGATAAAAGGTACTTGAAAGTAAAGTCCTAAAAGCAATTATCTTAAAAAGCTACTACATACATGGATCCTTTGTTGGCGATAGAAGATCTAAACACTTCGACGGTTTTAGAAAAAAATATATTTATTATTTATATACAGTTAATTACACGTTTTGTTAAAGATTAAAATATTTTTAGGACCAAGAATAAGTAACTGAATTCATTAATTTCTTAAATTTTCCTTACGTAAGGAGACATCAGTGATTTCTGCTCCTAAATAGTCCGTCGACTTTGAAAATTTTTCCTGCTTAAATAAGGCATGAGCACTATGTTATAAATGAAGGGAAAAGTCTCAATATACACAGATTTATATGATATATTTTTCTCCCAAGTCCAAAAAGCGGCTTCTGTTATTGTTTTAAGAGAGCTTACTTAAGGTTTGAAGTCTTGAAGCTATTGTAAAAATCAATTTTAGCCATGTTGACCTTTGATGAAATGTCATAAATGGCGTATTTTTTAAGTTCAAACAACCAAAATTTAAAAGATTTATCTATTTGTTTTATTACTTTATATAAACAAAGGACTTTCCTGTAAATTACACATTATTTTTAATTCAATCACATTTCAAAGATATGCAATGACTGAATTATTTCCTGACTCTTTGAACATAAATAACAAATTTCATATATACATGTACATGTATCTACACTTAACTTGTATTATATTTTTTTAGCTCAGGTATGCCACATATACATGTAGCTTTAAACATGTATATATACTGTACATATTGTATTTTAAAAAAATACTAAAATGCACTTGAATCTTTGAAGGAGTATTTTGAAATTACATACATTGCTTAATAAAAAAAATCCATTACACAAGATAACAATCGAAATTCAAAATCTTGAATCAAATTAATCAATTCAGTGAAAAAAAATCAAGATTTATTTTTAGGTATTTTACAACATTATTCAGGCAAGTGAGATCCTTTTTTTTTTATAAATAAAGAAATAGTTTAAATCTGATTACATACACATAAATGTCACATAAATCTATCATTCAAGCATCTTGCATTCACTTTAAAATCTTACACATTCTCTCAAATATTCAATACAACATACCTCTTTTTATATTATAAAAAATGTAGGAAAATTGGCTTTACTTCTCTGCACCGATATGGAATGATAGCAAACATTTACTTCATAAAAACTAACAATTTTTATAAGACTCTTTCTTATATGACAACAATTTTACATATATTCAAATGAGACAAAAGTTTCAAACATGCTTTTTTCCTTTGTTTCATACATCCAACATCTTCACATCCCACAGATTTTTTATATTTATTTCATGAAGATGAATGCAGCATATGCACCTATTTATCAACGCTGTCATAAGAATCACCAAGCTTTATCTTATGAAGATATCAATTCATCACATTGTTTATTTCCAAGCTCGACTGAGCGCTCTTCTTGCAGATAGTTTCTGAGTCACTATGGTAACCACAAACATTCCTAGCAGCACAGCTGATATAAAGAAATAGTCAAAGTCTTCCTTCAAGACGTCAAACATCTTAGAGGGCTGAACTCGTGTAAAGTACAGGTCTAAAAGAAAAATAAATCAAGTGCACTTTTGTGTGGTTAGCAAACTTAAGGTAAAATTCTAATCAGAACTTATAGTCTTACATAGCTAAAAATGTAGATGTTAAAATTTATATTTTCATTAGAAGAAAAGCGATTGCATGGCTAAAATTATAAAATTCAATAAGACTAGTATATAATTGTATACTAAATATAACTCATTTAATACAGTATATCTTCATAAAATTACTCTCTTAAAATGAGGAAACAACTTTTCAGTAAATCAAACCATTTTAATCTTCATTCTATCATGCCTTTGAAACTTTCGAGAAAACAGACAGAGAGACATACAAAGTTCATTTGCTTACAGCAGTGATATGGAGCTGGTGAATTGGGCATACTATAAAACCTGGCCTGGCCCCTTTGGCCTGGCCTGGTCTCTAAGTTGGCCTGGCCTCTATTTTGGCTTCAAACCAAATTTTGGCCTGGCCTCAAAAATTGGCCTGGCCTCAAATTTGGCCTCTGCAAAAATTTTTGGCCTCAATTTTGGCCTCACCCAAAAATAATTTCTTTTTCAGAATTTGATTGATTTGATTGATTTGATTGATTTTTTTTATTGGTTTCATTTTTTCAAAGCTTACGCAGATAAATAATATATTTCTGTTGGTATATAAATGTGAACATTAAAATAATAATATACTACTACCAATCTGATTTATTTTTTATTGATTTTCTATTTATCAGTTACAATTCTGAAAACTTTCCATGGTAAAATTGAGGATTTTACATATTTAAGTATATATATAATTAAAACATTTAGAAACATCAATATAAATTATCAAGACAACAAAGAAATGCAGATGAATAGTAATTACCTAAGAAATTCATTAAAAAAATATTCTTTTATTTTCTTAATGAATACAGTTTTAAACAAACTAGTTACATTGGTTCTGACATTATTATTACCTATATGAGTCTAATGATCCAATTTATTGTAAACATGACCCTTCACTCTTCACACACTGCACCAAAGAATGCTGTGCTTACGGTTTATTGCCTTCACCATCCTTGATAAAAACAATTTTGTTTGATATATGAAGTGCCCATGACATCACTATCTAGAACCAATGCAGAAGACAAGTTGACATTTGATACACAGCTAAATAAAAATCTAGACCGTATGCCCTGTTCTTAATAAGTTCAGCATTTATTTATTACACAGAGATCTACGGAAGGGGTTTAACAGGAAGGTTTTAATCACTGGCGTAGAGAATTTGTCAGTTTCCATTCATGTTTTGAAAAAAAATCCTTATCACAATCAGTTTTCAGAATGAAAGGTCAATTTGATAACAGCGTAATACAATAAAGAATTAGCCTACAATTGACAATGGATAATCATGAGATAAATTACTGCAAAAGTTAAAACTTTATATTTGCTGCTGTTAGGTATTCACGATGTTCAGGAAGCAAATGACCTTTTAAATCCTCAGGACAAAAGACTAAAGATGATATAAAATAAGGATCTTGTTTCTTAATGCATTTTTCTGATAAATGAAAATAAACATTTGAAAGTGCTCCTTCTTTCATTGTTCCATCTTTTCCCCGATATGGTCTCTTCATCTTGGAAACAATTACTAAATTTCGGGGAGAATCTGGAATTTGATTATTTTCCCTAAAATATCCCTGGCACCCAAAACATTTTGTAACGTTCGGGTTACAAAAGTCAAGCATGGCTATGACATAGGACCCTGTGGACGGGTTTGGAAGGGCAGGAATTAAATTATCTGATATACTGCCTGCAATAGGTGCCTCTACATACTTCTCTAACACCTGTCGTTTTTTATTTGGATTTCCACCTTTTCTTCTAGATGTTGATTTAGTAGCTTTCTTCCCTCTTGAAGATGGCATATTAAACATTGATAACGATGTATATTTTGGATGCTTACTTTTACTATTGTACCAGTCCAAAAAGTTCTGTAGTTTCTGCTGGTGTTCTGCGACAGCTACAGTATGTGGGCATATTTTATGTGTAACCCATTTAATGCAGTTAGAGTCACACATGTATTGAGATTTACTTCCACTGCATGAAACTTGATGTGGTGTTGATTTATTGAAAGAATTTAGAACAAAAAATAATTTTTCATCTGATCCGGGGGCCATCACTATGTTTTCATTGTTCTGAAGTAAACTGCTGGCTGTCATAAATATGTCTTCCACAACATGTTGAGCTACCTTGGAGATCTGAGAATTTTCTGGGGGAACAGAAAGAGTGCATTCTCTGATATTTTGTGGAGTAATACTTACAGGATCATCTTTTTTAACAGTGGCATTAAAAAAATTGTTTTCCAATCTTACTTTCTGTTGTCTGGTCATTTGATAATATTTTTCTTCTGCTACTGTGTACTCTTTGTAGTTGTTACTAATTGCGTACTCTCCTCTGCCTAGTAATGCTAATCTGGTTTCATCATGTTGGCACTGAATGATGTTTTGAAGATGTGTTACACAATCAGGCACACTTAATTTCTCTAATTTTAGATTACGTTTTACAACACTATTTGCACATTCATTAGCATTTTGATTATACATTGAAGGTGGATATCCCAAGCCACACATTGCCCTTAAATCAGCTGTCATACAATTCTTGATCAGATCAGCCTTAAAAGTGGTAAAATATTTGAGAAATTCATCTCCGTAAGGATGACGATTTGTCCATAATGGTTTTAATGATTCCAATTTCTGGTCAAATTCGTCTGAACTAAAGCAGTCCACAAGTCCTGGAACTTTTTCCGAATTAATTTGCTTCCCAAAAATGTCCTGAATATACTCTGTAGCCTCTTCAGCTTTTATGCTAAGATCAGTAAGCTTCTTTTTTATATTGTCTTTCATATGTATGTCACAAAGTAGATGTTTGGAATTTGTGAAACAAGAGTCAAATGCATCTGACAGATTTTTCTCTCCATCACTCCCATAAACAAGTAAACCTTGTAAATTTGGATTGTACTTTATCATATTTGAAGGCAATGCAAAATAAGAATCAAAGAGTCGTCTTTGGTGTATTAAAGCTGGTCCTATGAACACTGGATGTGTTTGCTTTTTTGTCATCAACATCAAATGTTTGTATGTTGTCAATGTCAAAAAGTATTTTCCAACATTGAAAGTAGCATCCACTCCAAGCACTGAAAAATGGTCAGCATTTGTACAGAAACGTTCAATATCAGTTAATTGTTGCTTTGTTGCCATGAATACTGTCATTTCTGGTGATGCAGACACATCCCTTACAAAAGCTGTTTCTTTGTCGAGAGACTGTTCTTTACTTAATTCCATCAGGTTTAATAAGGGATCACCATTTCTTTCCTCTTTCATTGCATACTTAAAACTGCTCACTTGCTGTCTGTTTTTTACATGCTCTCCTGGTGCATTTATTTCATGTATCCCACCCTTTTCCAAAATGATTTTATGAACTACTTCTTTTGGCTTTGAGTTTGCGTTGATTTCTTCTTTAATTTTATTTTTCACTGATTGAAAAGTTCTGTGATATGTTTTCCCGTTCTTTGCATTCCCATGTGGCTGAGGTATCACTTTGTGTTCCTCATTTTCGAAATAATACTGTAATGCAAGTGGGCTTACTATTTCAAGGCCAGTTTCACCTTTTATTTTAAATGCAAATATCACAATTCTGTGGAAATCTGGTGAGGCTGAATGTCGGTAAGAAAGCCTTGTGACCTTATATGTTAATCCTTTGTCCATAGACAAGTGATCATTTTCATCTACTTCCTCAATTTTGTCACAGATCTCTTTAAAGTAATGAACTTTTGTTTTTGTCTGTTTCCAAACACCACATCCATCCGAAAGGACATCTTTATGATGCCCCAATTTCTTGGTGTCAATAAGAAACAAAGCATTAATATTGACACCTAAGGGCACACGAGTAGCTAATTGCCCCTGGAAGTTAAGCATTTCCTTCAGGGTTTCCTTTGTAAAAACTCCCTGGCGTACACCCTTTTTGAATATAGGCAGTGTCTTATCATCCAGAAAGTATTCATAAGGTAATTCTAAATCAAACTCTTCTGTAAGATTTCTTCTGTGTGTACCGGGGGTAATTGGGGTAAAAATGTCTTCAGTGTCACTATCTGAAGACAACAACTTGAATGGAGATGATGTTACAGTGGTTTTTTTTGGTGACGGAGAGCCCTCATCTGAACTTGGGATGACTATCAGCGGAATAGGGGATTTTGTTAAGTCCACGACAGGCTCCGAGACTTCCCTCACATTTTCTGAATAAAGAAAAGGGTTTTAATTTTCTTTCTTTCTTTCTTTTTTTAAAAATGAGCTCATCATGTAAAGAAAGAAAAACACAATATAACATTATAACATAAAATGGCAAATTGAGACTAACCTGATCGAATTTTCTTTTGAGGTGAAATAGTCCAAATATCAGAGTCTGAATCCTGTGAAGAAAAAATTACTTTTCTTATGTATGGATCATACATACACATTCTATTCTTTTCAAAGAAAATATAAACTTTTTAAATTATTGATAATATTACTCAATACAATCTGAGTTTTCAAGTTGGATAGTAATAATAATGACATACCTCCCATTTCTCTAGTTGTGAACTTATATGGTCCTCCATACGCTTAGCTGCATGCCTAAAATAAAAAAAAAATGGTTTCAATTTATAATTTGGGAAGGTAATAAATACTTTATTTTAAGTTCATTTTTGTTATTTCACAATATAAATCCAATTTATATAGAAATCTATGGAACGCCCTTATTATGTTATAAATAGTGCATATTTTACCTTTTTCCAGATTTGGAAGTCTTCTTGTTAGGACTTCTAGTATTTTTCTTCTCTTTTTCAGCTTCAGGTTTAGTGACTGTGTTCATAGCATGGTACTTAAATGAAAAACTGCTTTTGATCACTGGTTCACCAGGGGATCCATCTTCCCAACTAAAACCTTTTACGGCATCTGCATAACTTTTTCTCTCCATTTTAGGATGATTTTTGTATTTTTGAGATTTTTACAAAGGTATAGCTGCTGCAGTGGTTACAACAAGGTAAAAGCGTTAATCTTTTGCTGACAATGCCATTTTGGGAATAAAATGGGTAGAGGGTGAACAGCATAAAAATAATATTTCAAACAGTTTAACTGGCTTCTTCACAAAAAAAGAGAAACAAAATATTACTTTTTGAAAATCTAAGCACTTTTATATACTTTAATTAATTTAGTCAGTTTCATTAAATGATCATGAGTTGCTAATTAAATTTTCATTTGGATCAAACACCCTTTTTCTGATAATGGACTGGTCCATTGTTTCTGTATTTGATGGAATTTAAACTTTAGCAAATCCTGTCTTCACCAACTCTTTATAATTGATATATGATGATAGCTTATTTAGTTTTTGCTGATAGGACAAGCACCAATGACATGGGAACCTTTCACTTTTTCTCTGAGGGTTGAAAAATAATTGCAAAAGTTAGATAACGCTAAAAAAATCAGGACCATAAGTTCTGTTCTTGATAAGTACAGCTCTGAAATAGAAACATTATAATGACACATTTATTGGAATGTATCACGTTCTTGATAGTTGCTGAAAGTTAACTAACACGTTACATGAATGTGTTTGAATATGAAATACAAAACTTTGGGGTTTTGTACCCATCTGAATATCTTTGTTGTCTTGATAATCAAAATTGATGTTTCTAGATGTTTTATTCTGTAAAAATCACCAATCCTACCAGGGAAAAAAATTAAAGGCACATTTACTACATCATTAAGATAAAATCTTATTAAAATTAAAACTATATGCTCTGTGTTATATAGTCTTCAGAATTGCAACTGGTCAATAGAAAATCAATAAAATAAATCAGATTGGTAGTATTGTATTTTTATCTTAATGTTCACATTTACATATCAACAGAAATATATTATTTATCTGCATAATCTTTGAAAAAATGAAACCAATAAAAAAAATCAATAAAATCAATCAAATTCTGAAAAAGAAATTATTTTTGGGTGAGGCCAAAATTGAGGCCAAAAATTTTTGCAGAGGCCAAATTTGAGGCCAGATCAACTTTTGAGGCCAGGCCAAAATTTGGTTTGAAGCCAAATTAGAGGCCAAAATAGAGGCCAGGCCAACTTAGAGGCCAGGCCAGGCCAAAGGGGCCAGGCCAGGTTTTAGAGTATGCCGGTGAATTGTGAATTTCCCAGGCATTGTGTACACAGACAGACAGACAATCCTTATCCATACAATAACACTAGTGATGTGGACTCTAGTCCTGCTGGTGATGGGTTAATACAGACAGACAGACAGGCATACCTAATCCATATGATAACACCAGTGATGTAGACTCTAGCCCTGCTGGTGAGATGTGAATACAGACAGACAGACATACCTAATCCATATGATAACACCAGTGATGTGGACTCTAGCCCTGCTGGTGAGGTGTGAATACAGACAGACAGACGGACCAAATCCATACAATAACACCAGTGAAGTGGACTCTAGCCCTGCTGGTGAGATGTGAATACAGCTAGACAGACAGACATACCTAATCCATATGATAACACCAGTGATGTGGACTCCAGCCCTGCTGGTGAGGTGTGAATACAGACAGACAGACAGACATACCTAATCCATACAATAACACTAGTGATGTGGACTCTAGCCCTGCTGGTGAAGTGTGAATACAGACAGACAGACAGACATACTTAATCCATATGATAACACCAGTGATGTGGACTCCAGCCCTGCTGGTGATATGTGAATACAGACAGACAGACAGACCTACCTAATCCATATGATAACACCAGTGATGTGGACTCTAGCCCTGCTGGTGATGTGTGATACAGACAGACAGACAGACAGACATACCTAATCCATATGATAACACCAGTGATGTGGACTCTAGCCCCACTGGTGATATGTGAATACAGACAGACAGACAGACATACCTAATCCATATGATAACACCAGTGATATGGACTCTAGTCCTGCTGGTGATGTGTGAATACAGACAGACATACCTAATCCATATGATAACACCAGTGATGTGGACTCCAGCCCTGCTGGTGATGTGTGAATACAGACAGACAGACATACCTAATCCATATGATAACACCAGTGATGTGGACTCTAGCCCCGCTGGTGATGTGTGAATAAGACAGACAGACATACCTAATCCATATGATAATGCCAGTGATGTGGACTCTAGTCCTGCTGGTGATATGTGAATACAGACAGACACACATACTTAATCTGTATGATAACACCAGTGATGTGGACTATAGTCCTGCTGGTGATGTGTGGATACAGACAGACAGACATACCTAATCCATATGATAACACCAGTGATGTGGACTCCAGCCCTGCTGGTGAGGTGTGAATGCCCTGGACGTTGTACAGACTCTGGTTATAGTTTATGATGGCTTCAGCATTCACTGGTAACTCTGGGATATATGGAATAGTGCCCTCCTCCCTGTAAACATAGGAAGAACATTTAATCCAGCATTCTCTAGATAGAGGCAATATAGTAAAGCACTTGTGTGTGGGAGTGAATAAAGGGTTGTGTGCATAATTAATGATCTATAATGCAATCAATGTGCTCTTTTGCAGGGAATGCAACACTTTGAGATGCCCTTGTTATAAACAGAACCAAAACCTGTGCATGTCTGAAATCATATGCACATGTAGAATCATTTACAGTAAAATTACAAATGCCAGTAACTCTGAGAGTCTTAAATGTTTATCTTGTTGTTGATGTTGATGTCATCACAGCTGATACTAGCAATGTTAACTGTAATAAAGTCTTACATGGTCTCCTGAGTGGGTAGAAGAGGTCGCCTTGGGTCAAGTAAAGCTTTGGGTAGAGCCAGCAGCCCTCCCAACCGCAGGGCAACTGAAAACATCATTATTAAGTAGGCTATAAATTATACACAATGAGTAATTCCTCCTAATCTCAAAGCAACTGAAATCAAACATTACAATACCAGTAGGAATTCAGACAGAGCTAGCACATATGCATGTTTAAGAACAGCTCAAAACAGTCATAATTCAGACTATAGATAATCTGCTACTTAATAAAGACATAAATTAAACTTGTTCTTATAATCTTACATATGAGCTGTTTGCTGGTGATGCCTTTCTCAGTGATGGTGGTTGCCATGGTAGATATATACAGTGGCATGATGTACGACTGTCGGAGGACCAGCGGTTGTCTGGGAGACGAGAACGAGGAGAATGCCGAGGAATTAGTCTGGTCTTTACCCTCGTACAATTCTAACACAGCGATCTCATGGCGACGAGACTTCTGACTAAAGTAGTTATACTGAAAAAACAATCCATCAACACTTGTATCAAAAATTATAGAAAATGAAACTTAAATAGAAAACAGTGGGTATTAAGAACATGAGTAGGCATACTAAAACAGAAAACAATCGGTCTAAAGAGATGCACTAAGAAATGACCAACTCAATAGGATATCAGCCTCTGGTACTGTAGTTACATAGTACATTAACAGATTAGTGTTAGAGAAGTGACCAACTGACCATAGTATACTGTAAATCACGTTTTATTCGCGAGAACTTAATTTTCGCGTAATTACGCGAGATAATGAGCTTGCGAAAAATTTCATTCTCGCGTTTAAAAATATTCCTTACGATTATGTAGGGGAAAAACAACAATTCGTGAAAATTATGTCTCGCTAACAAAGAGTCAATGACTATCTCGCAAAAATAAGGTGTCGCAAAAATTTTGTGATCTACAGTATTTAACAGATAATTATGAGAAAAGTGAACAACTGACCATAGTATATTTAACAGATTAGTATGAGAGAAGTGACTAGCTTACCAGGACCCAGTTTTCGGAGTGGACCACAGTGACTGGGCCCTTGGCTCGTTTATGGCTGCAGTGGAACACCATGTGACCTGTCACACTGTCCAGCAGGTACATATTTATAAAGTTGGAGGGACCTGGAACACAATTCATCAATCACAAATAAATTTTTATCTAATTAAAAAAAGTTATTGCAAGAAACAATCTGTTCAGAATTCATTATATATTCAATTACCATTTATGTAAACACAAATTACTGGTAATGTAAAACATAGGTAATCAAAGATTACGAAGCTCACCTCGACGATTGTTATCAGTGTAAGTAATGCAAATCTCACATATTTTTTCTTAATAGTTAGTATTTATCCCAACATCAATATTCTTGCAAGTTCTGTTTAACCCCTTACATGGTGTATACACATTATTCTACATGTCTAGCATGAAAAACATATATAGTATAAAAAAATATTCATAACTTTGTTAATACTGCATATCTAGGACTAGGAAATTCATTGGGATTGATCTGTTCCAAAAACTTTAACCTTGTCTCTTGTTTGGAAAATATAGGTCAGATACAGCATCCGAAGCAAGTCTGGTAGTGTCCATCCCTAGATGCATCATCCATGCAAGTTTGGTTCAGGTAGGGCTTATAGTTACTTGGGATTGAAAATGTAGGTCAGATCCAGCATCCGATGCAAATCTGGTAGTGTCCATCCCTAGATGCATCATCCATGCAAGTTTGGTCCGGGTAGGGCTTATATTTCCTTGGGAATGGACCTGCTTCGAAAATTTAAACTGGTCACTCATCTGGAAAATATAGCTCAGATCCAGCATCCGAAGCAAGTCTGGTAGTGTCCATCCCTAGATGCATCATCCGTGCAAGTTTGGTTCAGGTAGGGTTTATAGTTACTTGGGAATGGACTTGCTCCTAAAACTTTAACCTGGGACTCTGACGCCGACGCCAATGCCTGGGGTTTTGCATAAGCTCTTCTTGACTTTGTCGAAGTGAGCTAAAAATTCCACTGTATAAAGTTTGTCAATAATTTTTCAAGAGTCTTTTCACCCTCAATGTAATGAAAAAAAAATTGTGAGGTCAAGAATATAAGACAGCTATCTAACCTTTCTGGGACTGTTCCTGAATTTCTCCCTCTGTAACCACGACAACCAGATTGGGATTAAGGTATTTATACAACACACTTCTGTCTCCAAGGACACGGCCCTGAGAATGAACTTGTTCTGAAAAGACAGAATACACAATGAACATGACCCTGGGAATGAATTTGAATAGACAGAATAAAAAATGAATACCTACCCTGTGGTCTTTTCCCCATGACTTGTGTTATTGTCTGTTGTTTTTTCTGCAAATTTACTGTCCAAACTTTCTCCATGATGAATTTCTGCATTAGAAGAAAAGAAAGTTAACTTTAATATCACTGCAGAAAATATGACAAATATTTCAAAATTTTAAACATATTTTACAATTAAAATTGGCTACCTCTCTGTCAGGGACTGTCCTGTACCCATAAATAAATCCTGTATCTCTGTCGGCCACAAACATAAACTGGGACTTGTACGTCTTCCTCAAAACAGAGGAACACTTTTCTGGGAATACATGAACCTGAATAAAAAGATGAATGTTAAGAATCAAGAGAAATGCAGGCTATAATTAGGAAAATAAGGCTTAGTGAGTTATAATAGATTGTGTAAGCAGGTAAGTTAATATAGTAAAACTTGGCTATGAGGATGTGACTGGGATAAATTCAAATTTTATTTCCTTTAAAATAAGGAACACAGTGGCCAAGGGATTGACAAATAAATTACTTATAACTGAATTTCCTTAAAACCGAGCTACATCTATTCATAACTCAAACTGAGTTTTATTGTAGTAAACTAATCTGAGGATGTAATTGAAGTACTAAAAGTACTGAAATTACCAATTACAAAGAGTAACATCTATTTTATTCAGGATTTGGCTCACAAGAAATGGAAGCATATTATTATATATAACCCATTTATTTAGTTGATATATATCATTTCTAGTAAATTAAACCTCCTTGCCTGATCACTGGGGTCCAGAAGGAGAATTCCTCTCAGAAAGTGGTCGTCTAATTCCCCCACCATACTGGTCTGTACAATTCTGTAATTCAACATCTGGCCACCAGGGGGCGTGTCTACAGGCTCTCCACTGATTGGATTAAAGGAGAACAGGAAGCCATTGCCGGTCAGCTAAATTACAAGGTGTCAAGGTCATGGTACATATATTTTCTCAGACTATTCTATCCAGTAAAAACTATAAAATCACATATTTTCTTGGGGTCGAATTTTCGGTGTTTGAAGAAAAGTTATTGGTT